AGTAATGTTTTGCAGAGTAATATACCAAGCTAGTAAACACTTACTTCTGTGCTAATGCTGCGTGAATTCTTCGATACATGTAACACTCTACATACAACCAAGGGGACTGAAACCAACTCGGCTCTCCATTTCCATTTGATAAATTTCGTTGGTAGTCTAGGTATTGGTTCCACAGTCCAGCATCAGACAGCTCATCTTCTAAAGGGGTCACTGGTTTGTCTGTTTGCAGTTCATTCCGCAGTTTGGACAGGAAAGATATAGCTCTTTTCTCTGCTTCAACACCCTTCTGAAATAAGTGGAGAACAAAAGTCCCTATTCTGAACATTTATCCCTGTAAAAATACAGATCAATTTTTCATGAATGGTATAAGTGATAAGTTTCAGTTGCCAAATACGAATTCCCAACAAATGAGCGCTTGATTCAACCAAACATATTTTGGTGCGTGAAGCTCATTTTACACCTAACATCCTAAAATTAATTGTGCACGGGACTTCTTCTTAGATTGGACTTTTTCCTTATTAAACGGGAACAGAGTGTTGAAACATCACCATGCTCAGAAGATGCTACAGTACATTAAACACCGCATCAACACAAAAATGTGAGAAAGTAAAGCAGCTGCAGAACAGATAGATCAGGAAAAGGTTAGACAGAAAAGTGAGTTAACAAAATTAATGAAAAATAGCTACAAGAAAGAGATGATAAAGAAAAAAAACAACAGACAAAAAGATTAAGAAACCAGTAAAAACAAGGCAGAGAAAGAGCCTCAAGGGTTGGGGGGGAGGGGGGGGGGAAATCTCAGACAAAGAGAGACCTTACTCTTACCTCACCATGTTCTTCAAAAAATTCATTTTTATGTCGATGCAGAGTATCAATAACTTTTGTGAGGATCTGGGGCAGTCTGTCTTTAATTGTAAAATATGCAAAGGATCTAAAAGGGAGAGGATCAAAATTTTATTATTGAGAGGATATGATAAAATATCTTCTATTTTTTAAAATAATTGCAAGGTCTTAAAAGTACATTGATGTGCCTTTAAAGCTGCAGACACTAATAAAAACCAAACACATCTCAAATTGGTCAGGTTCTTTGGTCTACTTTTGAAGAAAAACAGCAATCTTTTCAAGGGGAAAAAAAAAAGCTAAATAACTGGCCCTGCGTAAAAGAGCAAAAATTGCAGTTAATTTCTAGGCTACAATGCATTCTCTAATTGCTCAGTTACCGGGATGTAACATCAAGGAAATTTAAAACAAAAAGCATAGAGATTTGCTTGAAGTTTAAGTGTATCTTGTATCAACAAGAAAATCCACACGACTTGCTCTCCACTATAGACCTGATTTACCTTTTCCCCTGTTTCTATAAGAGGAGGACAACGAGCAAAACATGACCAGCCCTACAGAGAGCTCGAACCTGACTTGAAAACTGATTTTTATTTGAAGATTTCTATCCCGTGAGCCGGAGCCCCAGTCCCGGGGACTCAGAACTGAACAGTTACGCGCTACTGACCAGTGAACCCAGAGAAACCTAGGAAAACCAGACGCACAACCTACATAGCCTCCCAAGCCCTATTCCAGTCAGTGACAGGCAGGGACAACCGCAGCGGTAAGCG